CTGGCCCCGCTCAGTGGCTTTTATAGTGTCTGTAGATACCATGTAACCCCCATCCCACTCAAGAGCCAGAACACTTCTGTGCCCCTGAAAGCCGTTCATACCCCCTTCCAGTCACCACTGTGTTACCACAATCCCAGGTAGCGGCTCTTTGGATTTCAGCACCACAGATAAGTTGGGTCCCTTCATGAACTTCGTATAAAGGGAATAGTACAGCATTAAGTCTGTGTCCTTTCCCCATGTTTTTGGGATGTTGTTCTACTTATTGATATTCTGTTATCCCATCATTTTAAACAGCAGTCAGGAAAACAATACCTGCATACAACATAATTTAATTGATTCCTTAGGGTAACAAGTGCCTTAAATGTTACTTCTTTGTTTTCACTTCTCATTATTAAAAGCTGTATGATAGTAAACATTCTGGCAGCTGAATCTTCGCCCGTGCGTTTGATTCCTGTTGTGTCAATCCTTAGAAGCAAGATTTCAGGGTCAGGAGATCTGCGACATGAGAGATGCATTTCTGAATCGCCCCTGAAGCCTGGGTGTGCTCTCCTGCAGGGGAGATGGAGAGCGCTCGTTTCCTTACCCCTCATCCGCTCTGGGTATTACTATGGAAACTTTATTTTCCAGTGTGATAGGCTTAAATAAAAAGCTACAGTTTCAGTGCCTTTTCTTGGACATATTGAGCATCTTTATGTTTACCAAACGTTTATATTTCTTATTTTGTTGTAATACCTAACACTTGTCCTTTTTTTCTTAGCTTTTGTCTTTTTGTTACTAATTTATTAGAGTTCTCTAGGTAATAAGCATGTTGATGTATTTCTTTCAAAAACTTAAAATTTTCTTATTTAAAAATTTTGTATTTTCATTTGTAAATGATTTATCTTATTTATCTGAAAGGCAGAATTACAGAGCGAGAGGGAGAGACAGAGAGAGAGAGATCTACAACTCCTGGTTCACTCCCCAAATGGCCACAGCAGCTGGGGCTGGTTCAGGCTAAAGCCAGGAGCCTGGAGCTCCATCCAGGTCTCTCACGTGGCTGGCAGGGATCCAACCACTTGGGCCAATTTCTGCTGCTTCCCCAGGCACATTAGCAGGGAGCTAGATTGGAAGTGGAGCAGCCGGGGTTTGAACCGGCACGATATGGGACACTCACATTGCACGCGGCAGCTTAACCCACTGTGCCACAGCACCTACCCCTATATTTTTTTTTTAAGATTTTACTTATTTATTTATTTGAAAAGTAGAGTTACAGTGAGAGGGAGAGACAGAGAGAAAGGTCTTCCTTCTGTTGGTTCACTCTCCAAATGGCTGCAATGGCCGGAGTTGCGCCTATCCGAAGCCAGGAGCCAGGTGCTTCTTCCCAGTCTCTCACGTAGGTGCAGGGGCCCAAGGTCTTGGGCCATCTTCTACTGCCTTCCCAGGCCACGGCAGAGAGCTGGACTGGAAGTGGAGCAGCCCAGACTAGAACTGGTGCCCATATGGGATGCTGGCACCACAGGTGGATGATTAACCTACTGTGCCACAGTGCCAGCCCCACACCCCTATATTTCCTTTTTTTTTTTTTTTTTTTTTTTTTTTTTTTGACAGGCAGAGTTAGTGAGAGAGAGAGACAAAAAGAAAGGTCTTTCTTTTTCCGTTGGTTCACCCCCAAAGTGGCAGCTACAGCTAGTGCTTTGTGGCCGGCGCGCCGCGCCAATGCGAAGCCAGAAACCAGGTGCCTCCTCCTGGTCTCCCATGCGGGTGCAGGGCCCAAGCACTTGGGCCATCCTCCACTGCCTTCCCGGGCCACAGCAGAGAGCTGGCCTGGAAGAGGAGCAACCGGGACAGAATCCAGTGCCCCAACCGGACTAAAACCCAGGGTGCCGGCGCCGCAGGCAGAGGATTAGCCAAGTGAGCCGCAGTGCCGGCCCCCTATATTTTCATTTTAGAAAAGTTTTAAATTAAAAAGAGGAATGGGCATTTGCCATAGTGGTGAAGATGGGGGAGACCTTGAGCAAGTTCCAGGTCCTGGTTTCAGCCTGGCCCAGCACTAGCTGATGTGGACACTTAGAGGTGAAACTAGCCGATAGATGATCTCTCTCCATCTCTGTTGGCCTTTCAAATAAATTAATTAAAGTTTAAAAACAAATAAAAACAAAAAAAACTTCCAAAATCGTACTTTTCAAGGATGGTCACTATTAATATCTTGCTATGAAAAGTGTACACATATACAAATATAGTTTTTACATTTAAAAACAGAAATCCTGGGGGCTGGCGCTGTGGCGCAGTGGGTGAGGCCTCCATCTGCGGTGCTGGCATCCCATATGGGTGCCAGTTCAAGTTCCAGCTGCTGCACTTCCGATCCAGCTCTCTGCTATGGCCTGGGAAAACAGTGGAAGATGGCCCAAGTCTTTGGGCCCCTGCACCGGGTGGGAGAACTAGAAGAAGATCCTGGCTCCTACCTTTGGATCGGTGCAGCTCTGGCTGTTGCGGCCATCTGGGGAGTGCACCAGTGGATGGAAGACCTTTCTCTGCCTCTCCTCCTCTCTCTGTGTGACTCTGACTTTCAAATGTAATAAATAAATTAAAAAATACCAGAAATCCTGAGTTGGCATAGTGGGTTAAGCTGCTGCTTGGTATAAATATATATATGTGTGTGTATACACATATGTATATACATAATATATGTCTATGTATACCTTACTCATGTAAAACATTTTTTAAAAAAGATTTTTTATTTGAAAGGCAGTTGACACAGAGAGAGAGATAGAGCTCTTCTATCAAGAGAGACGGACAGACAGAGAGATCTGTCTGCTGGTTCACTCCCCAAATAGCTGAAATGCCTGGAACTGGGCTGGGCCAAAGCCAGGAGCTTGGAACTCCATCCATGTCTCCCACATTGGTGACAGAGGCCCAAACACTTGGGCCATCATCCACTACCTCCCAGGTGCATTAGCTGGGGCTGCATCAGAAGCAGAGCACCTGGGACTGCAACAGGCACTCCAACATGGGATGCAGACGGCACACGCAGCAGCCTAACCTGCTGTGCAGCAATGCTGGCCCCACCTCACTGGTTTTAATGGAGTTATGGCCAACTTCTTGATGGAGATTTGAATTCTTCTAGTTTTTCTCTAACACAAAGTGCTTCAGTGGACATTCTTCTACAGATATCTTCAAGTTCTTTGGCAAATGTTTTGTGAAATGAATTCCTGGCACTGGAATCCTGGTATGGAGTAGGAGCAGTATGGACATTTAAATATTGAATAGAATTGTTCTCCAGTGAGCTTCCATCAGTGTACCAAACTCTGCTTGTTACAGAGAGAGCACCTTTCCAACTTCTTTGCCTTTGTGATTTCTGGGTCCTGGGCCTCAGAGGCTTTCACCACAGGGAGAACTGATAAATATTTCAGGTAGATTTTTTTCCATAAGCTACACTTACTTTTTTAAATATTCAAGAATATTTAGGGCCAGTGCTGTGGTGTAATGGGTTAAGCATCTGCCTACAGTGCCATTATCCCATATAGGCACTGGTTTGAGTTCTGGCTGCTCCTCTTCTGATCCAGCTCTATGCTGTGTCCTGGGAAAACAGTAGAAGATGGCCCAAGTGCTAGGGCCCCTGCACCCACATGGGAGTTCTGGAAGAAGCTCCTGGCTCTTGGCTTTGCATTGGCCCAGCTCCAGTCATTGTGACCATTTGGAGAGTGAACCAGTGAATGGAAGACCTCTCTCTGTGTCTCTGCTTCTCTCAGTTTGTAACTCTGCCTCTCAAGTAAATAAATAAATGTTTTTTTAAAAAAGAATATTTAATTATTTTTCTTATGCAAAGAAGCATATATAGATGAAAATAAAATGAATACACAACCATTTTTATCATATTTTATGTTGAAAACTTTTTTTGAAGAGTTATTTTTATTTATTTGAGAGTCAGAGTTACAGAGAAAGAGAGAGAGAGAGAGAAAGAGAGAGAGAGAGATATGGGGGTCTTCCATCTGCTGGTTCACTCTCTTATATGTCCACAAAAGCCAGGGGCTGGGTCAGGACAAAGCCAGGAGCCAGGAACTCCATCCAGGTCTCCCACAGGGGTGGCAGGGGCCCAAGCACTTGGGCCAACACCCGCTACTCCCCAGGTGCATTAGCAGGACGCTGGATTGAAAGCGTGGGGTAGCAGGGACTGGAGCGGACACTCGGAGACAGAACTCCAACCACTGAAGTGGTGGCTTAACCTGCCCCGCGGCACCTTGGAGAGCCTTCCCTGGCACGAGGTATGGATCCAGGAAGGAAGATATTTTTTTAAAATATTCATTTATTTATTTGAAAGTCGAAGTTACACAGAGAGAGGAGAGGGAGAGGGAGAGGGAGAGGGAGAGGGAGAGAGAGAGAGAGAGAGAGAGAGAGAGAGAGAGAGATCTGCCATCCACTGGTCCACTTCCCAATTGGCTGCAACAGCCGGAGCTACACCAATCCGAAGCCAGGAGCCAGGAGCTTCTTCCAGGTCTCCCACGCGGGTGCAGGGGCCCAAGGACTTGGACCATCTTCTACTGCTTTCCCAGGACATAGCCCAGAGCTGGATTGGAAGTGGAGCAGCCGGGTCTTGAACCAGCGCCCATATGGGATGCCAGCACTTCAGGCCAGGGTGTTAACCTGCTGCGCCACAGCGCCAGCCTTAGAGATGGTTTTTAATGTTGATGGGTAGTTCTTCACTTTCCACAGCTGGTGGCCCTGATGTCTTTTCTCATTTGGTTTCTCGGGCAGTGGCTGTGGGGTGGTGGAGCGTAAACCATCTCAGGAGACTGCGATCCCCTCAGGCCGTCTCACTGGGTGACACCCGGCCACACAGACGCGCCTCCTGCTGTCCGGACTGAACTTCGCTGCTCTCTCTAGTTCCTGCCATGCCCCGGTTTTCTGAGTACCCGAAGGACTGAGGAACAGGATGCCTGTCTCGGGCTGCTGGATGGGGCTGTGGGAGTTCTGCTCCGTCGCGCCTGCCTGCTCATGTCTGATGTGCTTTATCTCCATTCCAGGGGAAGCCCTATGTCTTTGACCGTGTGTTCCCCCCGAACACGACTCAGGAGCAAGTTTATCATGCGTGTGCCATGCAGATTGTCAAAGGTAATGAATCTTCCTTCCTTTCTATCTTTCTATCCGTATTTATTCATGAGAGAGGGTGCTTCTATCTGCTGGTTTCAACTCTCCAAATGCCCACAATGGCCCCTACTGGCCAGGGCTGAAGGCAGGAAGTCAATCCAGGTCTCCCATGTGTGTGGCAGGAGCTGTTACGTGGGCCGGCACTGCTGCTTCTCCCTGATAAAAAGCTGGAATTGGGAGCTGAAGCTGAGAATCAAACCCAGGCGTTCCCATGTGGGATGTGGGCGTTTTAACCTCTATGCCAAATGCCTACTGCTGCATTTTTTTTAATTGTCTTATTGTTATTTTTAAAGATTTATTTATTTGAAAGGCAGAGTAACAGAGAGAGAGAGAGAGAGAGAGAGAGAGAGAGATCTTCTATCCCATGGTTCATTCCTCAAATGCCAGCAACAGCCAGGGCCAGGTCAGGCTGAAGTCAGGAGCTGGGCGCTCCCTTCGTTCTCCCATGTGGGTGGCAGGAACCCGTGTGTTTGAGCCATCACCTGCTGCCTCCCAGGCACACCAGCGGGAAGCTGGGATTGGAAGCACAGAATAGCTGGGACTTGAACCAGGCTCTGTGATATGGGATGTGGGTGCCACAGTGCCTGCCCCTGCAAGTAGGTTTGGGATGTACTTCCTCAGGCTCCCCCTTGCCTGCCCTGCTTATGTCCACCTGTACTCTTCCTCCCCCATCTCTCCCAGATGTCCTTGCTGGCTACAATGGCACCATCTTTGCGTATGGACAGACTTCCTCAGGGAAAACCCATACCATGGAGGTGAGGGTTCTGAGTGTGGAGAGTGAGAAACCGGGAGCATTGGTAGAGGTCAAGGAAAGTCAGTGGGGGAAGACCTAGGGGTTCAGAGGGGGCGCTGTCAGGTGGTGGGACCCCTCGGCCCACTGCAGCCCGCCTGCCTCTGCACTGCTCCAGTTTTCTTCTCTTGACCTGGAGAATCAGCAGAGTGAGAGTCCAGAGGGCTGCTCAGTTTGCTCTTGCTGCCACGGAAAGGCGGCCATGGCGGTGGTGACCACGCTCTTCCCACCCACCACGCCCTTTATGTTCACCTGCGGGCCTGTGATTTGCCTCACTCGTCCTGAGCCCCAGCCTCACTCCGGAATGCCCTCCCTCCCCCAGGGGAAGCTGCACGACCCCCAGCTGATGGGAATCATCCCTCGCATTGCCCGAGACATCTTCAACCACATCTACTCCATGGATGAGAACCTTGAGTTCCACATCAAGGTGATGACAGCAGGACGGGCACGGGGCGGCCTCCAGGGACCCACTGGGCTCCCAACTTGCCTCTCACCCCTGGCGACCCCGGTTCTCCTTCTCTGCCAGATGGTCCCTTCTGCCCTCTCTCTCGCTCCACTATTTGAGCAATGCCCACTAGTTTGGGATTCCTGTACTAGTTCTGGGGTAGGCTCTCTTCACTTCATTCTCCTTCTCTCTCCCTAACCAGGTTTCTTACTTTGAGATTTACCTGGACAAAATCCGTGACCTTCTGGATGGTGAGTTTTGAAGCCCCAGTTTGGGGGTGGGGAGGCAAGCCCACCTTGCTGTTGGCCTTGGGTGCTGCTTGGCAGGAGGTGCAGGGGGCACCCGGGACACACACACTCCTCCCCCTGAGCACAGTCCTTCGGCCTCACTCACCAAGAATGTCCAAAACCTGAGAGGGACAGAAGCTGTGCTCAGGGGCCCAGGCCTGCCTATAAGCAGCTGAGAGGAGGAGGAGGGACCGAGGCTTCGCGAGGACACACGTGGAAGTCTTCCTCTCCGTGGCATGGGGAGGCAGCCACGGTGGGGGCCGGGTCGGGGCAAGCGCTGGTCTCGCTCATCGTGCGCTGTCTTCCTTCAGTGACCAAGACAAACCTGTCTGTGCACGAGGACAAGAACCGGGTGCCGTTTGTCAAGGTGAGGGGGCGGGCGCCCACGTGGGGCCAGTGCGTTGGGAGTGTGGGTGAGGGAAGAGGGCGGGTCAGTGGCCCAGAGTTGGAGGGTGGAGATCCTGCAGGGTAAGACGTGCCGAGGGGCCTGGCAGAGTCTGGGCTCCTGGAAAAGATGCTGTCTTGAAGTGGTCGGTGTGCAGGCGGTGCAGTCTGCAGGTCGGAGTCTGTGGTCATTGTCCACACGCTCCCCGCAGGGTTGTACTGAGCGCTTTGTGTCCAGCCCAGAGGAGATTTTGGATGTGATTGATGAGGGGAAGTCGAATCGTCACGTGGCTGTCACCAGTGAGTGGGGCTCTCGAGGGAGCGAGGGAAGAGTGTGTCCTCCAGGGCTGGGTGGCGGCTGTGGCAGGCCCTTTGTCTGTCGGGGGGTGGGAGTGGGGTGCAAGGACGCTGGGGCAGATGGGGGTGCATAGGGCGTGCTCCAGGGTGTGTTTCTCGCTCGCTCCTGCAGACATGAATGAGCACAGCTCTCGGAGCCACAGCATCTTCCTCATCAACATCAAGCAGGAGAACATGGAGACGGAGCAGAAGCTCAGTGGGAAGCTGTATCTCGTGGACCTGGCTGGGAGTGAGAAGGTTGGCATCCTGGGGGGGGGGGAGGATCTTGTGGGTGGGGGTGGCTTTTTTTTTTTAATAGAAAAAGACCTAAAATTGAGATAGAGTTCACATACCATAAAGTTCATCATTTTTTTTTAAAGATTTATTTATTTGAAAAGCAGAGTGACAAGAGAGAAGGAGAGGGAGAGGGAGAGGGAAAACCAAATGGCCACAACAGCCAGGGCTGGGTCAGGCTGAAACCAGGGCCCAGAACTCCATCTGGGCCTCCCACCTGGGTGGTAGGGGCCCAAGCTCTTTCTTCTGCTGCTTTCCCAGGTGCATTAGCAGGGAGCTGGATGGGAAGTGGAGCAGCCAGGACTCGAACCAGTGCTTAGGGATGCTGGTGTCTCAGGGCAGTGGCTTAACCTGCTGCACCACAATGCCAGCCCCAAAGTTCACCATTTTAAAGTGTATAATTCAGTGTTTTTTTAGAGTATTCCCAAGGTTGTGCAACTCTCTCCACTGTGTAATTCCAGAACATTCATCACCCATTAACAGTCACTTCTTGCTGTCCCCTCCACCCACCCCCTGGTAACCGCTCATCTACTTTCTGTCTGCATGGATTTGCCTCTCCTGGGCATCTCATGTCACAGAGCTGTACAGGATGGAGGGAAAGACGGCCTTGGCGAGAGCATTTAGGGGGGCAGCATCTGGCCAAGCATCTCTTTTGCTCCATCCTTGTCCCCTTTCCCTCCCTCCTCCTTGGACTGAGCCCCCGTGAGTGGAAAGAGGTGGCGATAGCTTTTGCATGTCCTGGCAGGTCAGCAAGACTGGAGCAGAGGGGGCCGTGCTGGACGAGGCAAAGAATATCAACAAGTCCCTGTCGGCCCTGGGCAACGTGATCTCCGCGCTGGCCGAGGGCACTGTGAGTGTTCCCCGGGCCCCACCCTCCTCCCGTGCCCCCACCTCATTTTGCAGGTCGCTCCATCCCCTATGGGCACCGCCTCACTCACCGGCCCCTTCCTCCCCCAGAAAAGCTACGTTCCGTATCGTGACAGCAAGATGACGCGGATTCTCCAGGACTCCCTGGGAGGAAACTGCAGGACAACGATGTTCATCTGCTGCTCCCCGTCCAGCTACAATGACGCGGAGACCAAGTCCACCCTGATGTTTGGGCAGCGGTCAGTGGCAGGGTCCCTGCGGCTCTGCCCGCCCCAGTGCTGCCCAGGCCTAACACGGCTCTCTTCCTTCCCCTTCGTTCCCCCAGGGCAAAGACCATTAAGAACACTGCCTCTGTGAATCTGGAGTTGACTGCTGAGCAGTGGAAGAAGAAATATGAGAAGGAGAAGGAGAAGACCAAGGCCCAGAAGGAGACGATTGCGAAGCTGGAGGCGGAGCTGAGCCGGTGGCGCAATGGTTAGAGCGTGGTGCCCGGGGCAACCAGGCCCCTCTCCTGGAGGGAGGGGAGGTGCGGTAGAGCAGTCAGGTGGGCACAGGCCCAGAACAGGTGCAAGAGCACATGGAAAAGAGATCGGGGGCCTGGCTTGGAGGTCTTGGCCTGGAGGTGGGAGGGACGAAGGACCTGGGCTCTCAGCTTTCCCTTCTCCCGTCCCTGCCTTGTGCTCGTCCTGCCCCTTTGCCAGGAGAGAATGTGCCCGAGACGGAGCGCCTGGCCGGGGAGGACGCCGCCCTGGGAGCTGAGCTCTGCGAGGAGACCCCCGTGAACGACAACTCCTCCATCGTGGTGCGCATCGCACCCGAGGAGCGGCAGAAGTACGAGGAGGAGATCCGCCGTCTCTACAAGCAGCTGGATGACAAGGTGAGCGGCGGCCGGGCCCTGCAGGACCAGGCTCTCCTCCACTGCCCCTTCTGATTTTAGAAGGGGCGGATGCTCGTTCTGGAAAGGGTGGGAAGTGATTAGAAACAGAAAGCAGAAAATGGACGTCATCCATCACCCCACCCCCCTACCCCCGTTAGAGAGAAGGCTGCCAGCACTTTGCTTTCCCCTGCACGCACATCAGGCGGCCGAGATGGACTCTCTGTGTAATTTTGCATCCATTTTTTCATTCAGCATTGGATTAGGAGCAATTTCCTACTGCATTAGCTCTACTTCATCAAAAGTGTTTTTAAATAGCTGCCTGGGAGTGCGTTTATCAAGATGCATTTGGCCATTCACTTATTACAGGGCGTGCAGGGTTTTTTCCTCTTATAAATAGCTCTGAAATGACTGTTTTTGCTTCAAATGCATAAGACTTTGCTTTTGAATGATTGGGTTGGAATGGACGGTTGGTGTGGGACTTCCGGGCTGAAAGGTATGAATGTTGAAAGGTGTTTGCTGTGGATGGTCAAGGTCATACCAACTTCCGGGAAAAAAGAGATTTGGAGGTGAGTTAAGAGTCAAGGCCAGAAGATCGCTGTTTCTAGGATGGGCGTCTCTAACGGAAAGCCTCAGCTCTCTGGATTTTTATCAGGGTCCTCCCTCGACTCCTCACCCCTTTATGATAAACAGCAACCAGCGGCTTCCCTTCACCTGTTTCCCCAACCTGCCACCCCCCCAACAGGACGATGAGATCAACCAGCAGAGCCAGCTCATAGAGAAGCTCAAGCAGCAGATGCTGGACCAGGAAGAGGTAAGGGGTGTGGGGGAGCCAGACACAAAGGAAAGCAGTTGTGTTCATCTCTGAAAGACATAACAAAGACCTTTTTAAAAAAAAAACTATTTTTTGTATTTATTTATTTGAGAGGCAAAGAGAAAGAGCGAGCTCCCAGCTGCTGGTTCACTCTCCAAATGCTTGCAGTGACTGGAGCTGGGCGTGGGGCTGGAACCAGGAGCAGGACATTCAATCCAGGACTTCTGTGTGGGTAGCAGGACCCCAGTGACTTGAGCCATCGCTGCCGCCTGCTATGGTCCTCATTAGCAGGAGGCTGGAGTCAGCAGCTGGAGCTGGGAATCGAACCCCAGTGTGGGACGTAGGTCTCCCTACTTGTAAACACCCTCCCCTGAGAAGGCCTTTATAGAATCAGATGGCAGGGGGTCGGTGAGTTGCGGTGTAGCAGGTAAAGCCACTGCCTCCAACACCAGCACCTCACATGAGTGCCATTTCAAGTCGTGGCTGCACTACTTCCTGTCTAGCTCCCTGCTATGGTCTGGGAAAGCAGCAGAAGATGGCCCAAGTGCTTGGGCCCCTGCCATCCACCTGGGAAACCAAATGAAGCCATTTGGGAAATGAACCAGTGGATGGTTCTCTCTCTGTGTGTCTCTCCCTCTCTCTCTAATTCTGCCTTTCAAATAAAATAAATAACAACAACAAAAAAATTGGAGGGCTGGCGCCATGGCTTACTTGGTTAATCCTCCACCTGCGGCTCCAGCATCCCATATGGGCACCGGATTCTAGTCCTGGTTGCTCCTCTTCCAGTCCAGCTCTCTGCTGTGGCCTGGGAAGGCAGTGGAGGATGACCCGGGTGCTTGGGCCCCTGTACCCACATGAGAGACTGGGAGGAAGCACCTGGCTCCTGGCTTTGGATCGGCACAGCACGCCGGCCATAGCGGCCATTTAGGGGGGTGAACCAACGGAAGGAAGACCTTTCTCTCTGTCTCGCTCTCACTGTCTAACTCTGCCTGTCAAAAAAAAAAAAAAAAAAATCGGATGGAGGAAGTGGCATTCTGCCTGGGGGCTGGTCACCCCCCAAAACTTAACAGAAGTCTAGGAAGTGCTTTGGGGCTTTTCTGAAAGCTCAGAGTTGGAGTCTGGGTGCTTCTTCATTCTGTTGCTGTGGAGCCTAAAACCCACTCCCTCCAACTTTCGCTTTGGGTCGGGGGCTCATCTTCCCCAGCCTGTGGGGCTGTGGGGACAGTCGCCAGCAGGTGCTCTCTCACACGCCCTTCCTCTCCCGTGCAGCTGCTGGTGTCCACTCGAGGGGACAACGAGAAGGTGCAGCGGGAGCTGAGCCACCTGCAGTCAGAGAACGATGCCGCCAAGGAGGAGGTGAAGGAAGTGTTGCAGGCCCTGGAGGAGCTGGCCGTGAACTACGACCAGAAGTCCCAGGAGGTGGAGGAGAAGAGCCAGCAGAACCAGCTGCTGGTGGACGAGCTGTCTCAGAAGGTGGTGAGTGGCCTGCTCGTGGCCCGAGTGCTCCTGGCCTCGGACATCCTCCATGTTCCCCGGGGGGCTGGGCAGTAGGGTGTTGGCACCCATCCTGCCCCTGCACTTTGCCCTTCTGCCCCTTGTCTTCCACACCCTTCTGTAGGGCCTGTGTCCTCTCTGTGGCGGCCCTGAGGGTCACGCACGAAGTGATAGGCCTCCGCCTGGGCCAGGGAGGGGAGTGGGAATGGCAGTGGCAGTGACCAGAGGGGCTGTTCCCCAGGCCACGATGCTGTCCCTGGAGTCTGAGTTGCAGCGACTCCAGGAGGTCAGTGGGCACCAGCGCAAACGAATTGCCGAGGTGCTGAATGGGCTGATGAAGGACCTGAGTGAGTTCAGCGTCATCGTGGGCAACGGGGAAATCAAGCTGGTGAGTGGGGAGACCCAGCAGTCCTGGTCAGGCCCTGGTGGGATGTGCAGGGTGGCCCAATCCAGACCCTCGGGGATACTGGGGAGGGGGGTGCAGAGAGCCAGGGGACACACCTTCACACTAGACCCAGAAAACAGCAAGAGGTTTGCACAGACTCAGGCAACAGGACACATTGCGGAGGTACCAAGTGCAGAAGCAATGGAGATGTACGTAGAATTTAGCAGTGGGGGCACAGTGCTGTGGAAGTGAGACACTGTTTCGCCTACCAAAGAAAATCATCATACATGATGAGATGGGAGCGGGGAGTGTGGCCCTTGGTTCTTTCAACGCAGGTGGAGGGATTTAGTGCAAATTGCCAGGAGAGCTGCTGCAGGGGGTTCACCTGTCCACCTGAGTCCCCAAGTGTGTGAGGGGCTGGGCGGAAGGCGGGAGGGATGCCTGGGACCCCCCTGCAGCTGGTCTTCCTCTTCTGCCCGTCCCCAGCCAGTGGAGATCAGCGGGGCCATCGAGGAGGAGTTCACGGTGGCACGGCTCTACATCAGCAAAATCAAATCGGAGGTTAAGTCCGTGGTGAAGCGGTGCCGGCAGCTGGAGAACCTGCAGGTGGAATGTCATCGCAAGATGGAGGTGACTGGGCGCGAGCTGTCGTCCTGCCAGCTCCTCATCTCCCAGGTAAGCGCCTGAGCTGAGAACCCTGGGGAACATGGCTATTGTGCGGTTGTGGATAAAGCTCCCAGCGCCCTCCTGAAGGTCGAGGTCAGCTGAGATCAAGGACAGAGGAGCTGGGGTGCCAGTGGGGAGAACTCAGCCAAACAAAGGCTCTGATCCGAGAGGGTCTAACAGAGTCCCCATAGGAATGACGCCCGACCTGCAGCGTCCTGGAAGGCGTGCGGTGGGGGAGGACTGGGGAGAATGGGAGTTGACAGGTATGCACCAGCTCGGAGTTGTGTCCCCAGCTCCAGCCATCTTCTTTCTCTTCCCACCCTTCTCCTCCCAGCATGAGGCCAAGATCCGCTCGCTTACGGAATACATGCAGAGTGTGGAGCTGAAGAAGCGGCACCTGGAGGAGTCCTACGACTCCCTGAGTGACGAGCTGGCCAAGCTGCAGGCCCAGGGTGAGGCCTTCCTCAACTCCGTCCCACCTGTCCTGGCATCTGAGATCCCCCAGGGAAAGTCCCAGACGTCCCCAAAACACCAGCCTGACAGTCCCCCAGAGCCTTAGCCTGAAACCACGGGTGCAGACTCTTGCTAAGAGCCCAGCCAGGCCTTTGCACGTGGCCCATGCACACGAACCATAAACCCTGGGCCTGCCCAGAACAGCCCATCCCCTGCCCAGCCTGAGCTTTGGTCACCACCTGTGGGTCTATCTGGAGGAGATGGGTTTGGTATGAGCTGTCTTTCTCATAGAAACTGTGCATGAGGTGGCCCTGAAGGACAAGGAGCCGGACACCCAGGATGCGGATGAAGTGAAGGTGAGTGCGGGGCTGGGGCCGGGGCCGGGGCCGGGGCCGAGGGTGGCGCAGGAGCAGAGACTTCATGGGGGTGCCTTGGGAGTCCGGCTTTGAGCCTGGAGTGGGGTTATTTGCAGAAGGCTCTGGAGGTGCAGATGGAGAGTCACCGGGAGGCCCATCACCGGCAGCTGGCCCGGCTCCGGGACGAGATCAATGAGAAGCAAAAGACCATTGATGAACTCAAAGAGTAAGGTTCCCGTGGGTGGCCCCAGTCTCCCCCAGGTCCTCCCGTCCTGCGGGGCGCGCTCAGCTGCCCTTCCGGATCTGGTTCTTCCACTCCCACGTGTCATTCCGTCCACGGTGACACAGCTTTGCAGCCCAGCTGTATCAGGAGATACAGAAGTATGGACTGCTCCCTCCCCTTGAGGCCTGACTGATTGGCGAGCTCAGGGCTGTTTGCTGTGTCACAGAAGCAGTGGCCTGCATTGATGCATCCATTCCAAGTGGCTTCCCTCCTGCAAGGAGGAGAGTGCTTGAAGAGCTTTCTTCCCTTTCCTGCGTGTGAACCTCTGCTTTTCTCCCCGCGGCCCTCACAGCCTGAATCAGAAGCTGCAGCTGGAGCTGGAGAAGCTGCAGGCTGACTACGAGAAGCTGAAGAGCGAAGAGCACGAGAAGAGCGCCAAGCTGCAGGAGCTGACGTGAGTGATGCTCACCCACGCCCAGCGGGCCCACAGAGGCGGGACGCCTGGGCACCTGGCACACATGGCCACCCACAGGTCAGGGAGGGGCCAAGGAGACTCAGAAGCGACCTGAGTAGTAGCCGGAAGAGGCCTGTGGGTTCTGTTAACTGTGAAAAGCTGGTGTCAGAGCAGTCTGGTATGACCCCATAAAAACCTGCACGTGGGTGCAGGGCCCCAAGGACTTGCTTCATCTTCCACTTCTTTCCCAGGCACATTAGCAGGGAGATGGATTGGAAGTGAAGCAACTGGGACTTGAACCGGTGCTCATACGGGATGCTGGTGTCACAGGCGGCTGCTTAACCCACTACACCATGACACCAGCCCCATCTCTCTCTCTCTTTTTTTTTTTTTAAAGAGGGATGTTCTTTTTCTCATTATTTTTTTTTTATTTTCTTGAGAAGCAGAAAGTGAGAGAGAGTTTGCTTCCATATGCTGATTTACTCCCCAGCTGCTGCTGGGCTGGCCAAAGCTAGAAGCCAGGAGCTCAATCCGGGTCTCCCATGTGGGTGGCTCGGGACCCAGTAGCCCGAGCCATCACTGCTGCTTCCCAAGGTCTGCCTAAGTGGGAAGCTGGAACCAGGAGCTGGATTCAGGAATCAAACCCAGGCTCACTGTGGGACGCAAGTGTCCTCACCCCAGGCTAAATACCCACTCCCTTAGCGCTCTTTTAAAATCCTTTTCTAGTTTTTGTACAGTATCCCTGAGTACTTTGTGCAACACAATGATCAGGGATAAAAGGGGTGGGGGCGGTGAGTGAGGCTTTCTGTGTCCTGCTCTCTCTGCGTCCTCTGCTGCAGATTTCTGTACGAGCGACACGAGCAGTCCAAGCAGGACCTCAAGGGTCTGGAGGAGACAGTTGTGAGTGGCTTCCTTCTGTGCCAAGCAATGGGGCGTGGGGGGTGGGGCTTCGTGACGTCCCCTCTGTTTCTCCCTGACCCCTCTCCCCGTCCAGTCTGTGGCGTAATCAGGACACCCCCCACCCCCTGCCCCTGGAAAGGGTGAGTGACTCCCTTGACTGTGTAGAGCCGAGCTTCCCGTAAGTCTGGAGGGAGGGGGTGGGTGTGGCACCTGGCCAGCCCCAGTGTTTCATGATCCCTTCCAGGCCCGTGAACTCCAGACCCTCCACAACCTTCGCAAGCTGTTCGTTCAAGACGTCACGACTCGAGTCAAGAAAGTGAGTGCTGTCCTCGGCCGCGCGCGTGCGCACACACACACCCACCCCTCTCCACATATCTGCAGCCCCTGCTCTCCCTGGTGGGGCTGGCTGCACCCGCTCTCTGGGGGACCTGCTTGGCCACATCTTTGTCTGTCTCTGATCAGAGTGCAGAAATGGAGCCCGAGGACAGTGGGGGGATTCACTCCCAAAAGCAGAAGATTTCCTTTCTTGAGAACAACCTGGAACAGCTTACAAAGGTTCACAAACAGGTAAGAGTCCGGAGGTGGGGCCAAGACAGTCTTTGAGGCCAGACACCTAGGACACCCAGATCTTTGGAGACCCTGGGTCCAGAAACACCTGGTTGCTTGTTTTCCTGTTCTCTTTTACTTGCCCTACTGATGCGGATGCCGTCTTTGGGCCTTGGCCTTGGCCTTTGCTGCCTGCCTGCTTTCCCTTCTCCGAGTCCCTGACCCAGCCCTGCTCCAAGTGGAGTTCCTCAGACTTGCCTTGGAGAGAGAGTTTGAGGCTGGCAGAGGTCGGAAAGGCTTGGGGGGTGGGGGTGTCTCTGTCACCACACCAGAGGGAAGGCAGGGAGAAAGAGGAAGGGTGAGAACTCCAGCTGCCTAGGCCTGGGCTGGCCTGCAAGGACATTAAGCAGTGTCCTGGAGACGGCCCGGGCAGCGCCTGGCTGGGGCAGGTGAGAGCCTCTGTGTGTTTGGTCGCTGCCTCTCTGCGCCCCTCCTTGCTGCTGTGGCTCTAAGGTGCATGACTGGTGCTCACAGGGGCGGGGTGGGGAGGCAGAGGGCAGTCCAAAGGAGTGAGGACAGGAAGTATTTGGTGCGTACAGAGCAGGTGCACCCTCGCTGCTGCCACGCAGCTGGGCCTTGAAGGCAGGCGCAACAGCCTGGCGAGTGGCTCTTCTAATGAATTCATAAAAGAAGCTCGAGCACGCACTTCAGTCCCGGCCTTGCAAATCCACCTGACAGTTCCATCAGACTCATATTCTCACTAGCCGGGAACTTCAACTTCTCTTCTTCCCAGTGCAATGTCTAGGCTATATGGTATATATATATATATATGATTTATTTTCTTTATGTGAAAGAGTTACAGAGAGAAGTAGAGACACAGAGAGAGAGAGAGAGAGAAGTCTTCCATCTGCTGGTTCACTCCACAAATGGCCACAATGGCTGGAGCTGAGCCAATCTGAAGCCAGAAGCCAAGAGCTTCTTCCTGGTCTCCCATGTAGGTGCAGGGGCCCAAGGACTTGGGCCACCCTCCACTGCTTTCCCAGGTGCATTAGCAGGGAGCCGGATCAGAAATGGGGCAGCTGGGATTCAAACCGGCACCCATATGGGATGCTGGTGCTGTAGGCCGGGGCTTTAACCCACTGTGCCATAGCATTGGCCCCCAACAGTAAATATTTAATACATTTAAAATTTTTGTGTGTGTTTATTTAGAGAGAGGCAGAGGCAGTTAGAGAGAACTCCCATCTGCTTGTTTACTCCCCCAATGCCTTGCAGTGGCTGAGGCTGGGCCAAACCAAAGCCAGTAGCCAGAAATTCAATCTGGGTCTGGCACAGGTTGGGGGATCCAGTTACTCGAGTCAGCGCCCCTGCCTTCCAGAGCCTGCATTAGCAGGAAGCTGGAGTCAAGAGTCAGAAGCCAGGGCTGGGTATGGAACCCAGGCGCTCCCACGTGGGATGAGGGCATCTTAACTGCTAGACTAAACACCACTGCTACTTTTTTCAAAAAATGAAAATATCCCAAACCTGTGTCCCAGGGATGACCTGCAGGCTTTATTTTGATTTGTGTCTGCAGAAGTCTTTACAGCTATTTTTATTTCCTTGACTTATAAAACAGTGCAACAACATTTTTATGGAAACATTGAAAAAATAGCCAGGAAATGGTTTGTAATCAGTTCTGCCATTCTGTTCTCCCCACTGTGTGTTCACCGTCCCTCTCTGTGCAAATGCCGATTGTCAGACGAGAGGTGCACAGAAAGGCTCCCAGCTCTGCCCCTTTATGGCTCTGCCGGCTTCCCCTGTGTCTGCCAAGGCCCAGCGCCTCCTGCAGTCTTGGTGCTCCCAGTACTTGTGGGGAGCCCTGTGAAAAAGAGCAAGAAATCTTTGCTCGCTGCAAAGGTAGCAGCTGCTCCCTCGCTCTGGCTTCATTCAGATGGGGGTGGGACAGCCCAGGAAGTCCTGGAATGAGAAGGTAGTGAGTAGAAATGTGAGAACGACTGTGTGTGTGTGTGTGTGTGTGTGTGTGTGTGTGTGTGTGGCAGGGGAGTGGGGTGGAGAAGGGGTCTGAATTCTGGCTTCTGCTCCTGCTCTGCACCTGACCGGCACCCATTCTCAGTGCCATCACCACCTCCATGCTGCGACTCCCTGCACTGCCCCATGCGTGCCCACAAAGCCATCCCCGGGGCGGGGTCGTCGGCTGGTCCCCATGGTTGCCCTGCAGTTGTTGATCTGGCACATGCTGTGGCATTTGGTGGAGGGAAATGTCCAGCCCAGACATCAATGACAGTGGAGAGGGCAGGTTTTGCTGCCTAGAGAACAGAACTTTGTAACGCGTGACTGCCCCTTGCTCAGAGAGATGTGGGCAGGACAGTACGCTATGCCAAGGGACCTGGTGTCCGTCTTCTCTGGCTTCGAGATCTTTCTTCTCTCTCCCCATCCCTCATGCTGTGCTCTTCCCTTCGGCAGCTGGTACGTGACAATGCAGATCTGCGTTGTGAGCTTCCTAAATTGGAAAAACGACTTAGGGCTACGGCTGAGAGAGTTAAGGCCCTGGAGGGTGCACTGAAGGAGGCCAAGGAGGGCGCCATGAAAGACAAGCGGCGCTACCAGCAGGAGGTGGACCGCATCAAGGAGGCCGTGCGCTACAAGAGCTCCGGCAAGCGGGGCCACTCGGCGCAGATCGGTGAGTGGCGGCCCTAACACCCGGAGCAGACTCTGCAGCCCCCGAGCACCAAGCTGCTACGTGACTGCTTCTTTCCTGCCCCATGCCTGAAAAGTAAAAAAGGAATGATTATCTTTTTAAAAATTTTATTTTATTAATTTGAAAGGCAGAGAGATGGGTGGGGAGATAGAGATGTTCCATCCACTGGTTCGCTCCCCAAATGTCTGCAACAGCCAAGGCTGGGCCAAGCCGAAGCCAGGAGCCAGGAACTCATGCTGGGTCTTCCCCGTGGGTGGCAGGGGCCCAAACACTCGAGCCATCACCTGCTGCCTCCCAGGGTGCACACCAGCAGGAAGCTGGATGAGAAATGGAGCTGGGACTTGAACTCAGGGACTCTGATGCGGCGTCTTACCTGCGCTGCCAAATGCCTGGCCCTGTGACACTTATCTTACATGGAACTGATGGGACCCCAGCTAAATGACCCCCGTGACCCCAGGGAGCACATGGTGACCATAGCCTCCTCAAGGTCATTTCTTCTTTTGGAAAGAAACTTACCTGCATCATCATTACTATTATTTTCATTTTATTTGAAAGAGAGATAGAGATCTTGCATGCACTGGTTCGCCCCTCACATGGGAACGCGGTCCAGGTCTCCGACATGGTCCAGGGGCTCAAGTGCTTGAGCCGTCACCTGCTGGCTGCCGAGTGCGCATGAGCAGGAAGCTGGGCAGGAAGTCGAGGAGCGGGGGCTGGGACCAGCCTCGCTGGTCTGGGATGTGGGTGTCCCCAGCGCCGTCTGACACTCTGCCCAAACACCAGTCCCTCAAGGTGGTTTCTTTCACAGCCAAACCTGTCCGGCCAGGCCACTACCCAGCATCTTCACCCACCAACCCCTGTGGCACCCGGAGCCCGGAGTGCATCAGCTACACCAACAGCCTGTTCCAGAACTACCAGAACCTGTACCTGCAGGCCGCTCCCAGCTCCACCTCAGACATGTAGTGAGTGACCGTGGCGTGGGCTCCCCACCCGAGGCATAGGAGTGGGTCCATTGTCAGTGGAGGCATCCTTTTCTTTTTTTTTTTTAAGATTTATTTTTTGAATAGCAGAGTTGCAGAGAGAGAACATCCATCCACTGGTTCACTCCCCAAATGGCCACAATGGCCAGAGCTGAGCCGATCAGGAGCCAGGAGCTTCTTCCGGGTCTTCCACATGGGTGCAGGGGCCCCAGCACTTGGGCCATCTTCCACTACTCTCCCAGTCACGTTAGCCGGGAGCTAGATCAGAAGTGGAGCATCTGGGACTCAAACCGGCACCCATATGGGATGCCGGCATTGCAGGCAGAGGCTTAACCCACTACACCACAGCGCCAGCCCCAGTGGGGTCATCTTTATGTTCCTAACTAGCTTCGTTCCTCTCTTTCTTAATAACTTTGTGCCCAAGACTGGAAGGCGGGCGTGTGTCCTCCCAGCTGTGGCCCTGCTGGCTGGGCTGTGGTCTTGGGGCTGGGGAGGGGGTTGGTGGTGGCAGTGTTGGTGGTGGGCGGCTCTATTGCCAAGGGTCTCAGGACAGTAGCGTGTGTGCCTGAGCCCGCCTCCCCCTCCTCTGCTCCGTCAGCTTCGCCAACTCCTGTAGCAGCAGCGCGGCCGCATCTTCCGGTGGCTCCTTGGCTCCCTATCAGAAGGCCAACATGGACAATGGTGAGTGGGAAAGATGAATCGCGCGGCCATGGGCATCCCCGGGGTGAGCCGAGAAGCGGCAGAAAGTGAGCAACCGCAGCCTACAAGGAGTCTGGCAGACTCCTCCCGTGGGCCAGGGCTCCTGATAGAACGAGAAAAACTGTGGCCCCTGTTCCCGCAGCTCCAACACTGCCCACCTCTGCAAGTCTCTCACGCGTGGACTCCTCCCACCTCCGAGCCCGTCCTCCACCCTGACCTCCCGCCCCCCACCCTGCTCAGGGAGGGGCCTGGGAGGTCTGATCTCAGGCGCGGGGCAGCTGAGGCTGGAGCCGTGGCTTAGCTTCTCCAGGGCGCTGAGGTGGGCGTGTCCAGGGAGGTGGTTTCTAACAGCCAGTGTCCTTTGTCATCTTCTACCCCCGTGCTCTCAGGAAATGCCACAGACATCAACGACAACAGGTATGCCACTCCCCACTACCCTCGGGTCCTCTGGGCGCCTCGAGAAGAAATGATCCATTTTTCCTCTGCCCTACTTAGAGCTTCTCAGGGGCTCCGACAGCAGCAGGAGATCAGAGCCCCTCTTGCCATCTCTGGGCTGTCATCGCCGTCCCCTCTTCCAGCCCCACCCACCCTTGATTTCTCCCCATCCCGGTTATGGGGCCCAAGGGTGAGGGGAGGAAATGCCACAGGCATCTGCTGACCTGGCCCTGTCTCCTCGCTGGTGACCTTGTGCAGGCCAGCGTCATCCCTGCATTCCCGGGTAACCCGGAGAGTCCTGTGGCAGAGCTCAGGGACGGTGACGGGGTCCTCTCCTCACCCTGGGTCTCTCTTCCTCCAGAAGTGACCTGCCATGCGGCTACGAGGCTGAGGAGCCCGCCAAGCTTTTCCCTCTGCACCAAGAGACGGCAGCCAGCTAATCTCCCACAGGACGGCTCCGCACCTGCACTGTCAGGTAGCTTCCAGATGCATCCCGGACCACTGCAGGCTGCCTCCTTTCCTGCCCACGGCCTTTTTAGTCCTCCTGCTTCTGTTTTTTTCTCCACCATTTCAAAACTTAGACGATGTACTCACTGCTCACCTCTTGGTTCCCCCTCCCCGGGGCTGCACCTGTGCTCAGGACCCACCTCCCCACTCTTCCAAACTCTCCCTTCAGCTGCAGGAGTAACCACAGCATTACTGCCCTCCTGCCGCTAGGGGGCACCACCACACATCAAAAGGAGCAAACCCGGGCACTGTGGCTCTAAAGCGGCAGGCAGGTCACAGACTTAGATACCAGAGGCCTTGAGAGATGATCTCAGCTCTCCTACCTCCACCCTAACATGGCTTCAGATGGATAGATATTTTCCAAACCAAGGCATCTCCAGTCAAGGTGATGTTCGCCTTCCTCCTGCCCTACCTGTGTATGCACCCATACTGTAGGAAGCACCTGCCAGGTGGGTGCAGCGTCATCCCTCTGCTCCCTGGAGGCAGAAAGGGTTCTCTCGCCAGCTCCCAGCACTTCCCTCCTTTCCCACCTCCAGCCAAACGGGAACCTTCCTGGGTCTCGTGGGTCATCACACCTGGGATCCTGTTTTATTGTCTACTCTTGCAGAACAGGGCCATTCTCTTCCTGGCCTGCACCCTCCCTCCCCGGCCCTCTGCAGGGGCACCCAGGACAATGGGCCATGCACACACCAGCAGAAAGGCGTGAGAAGCAGAGAAATAGGGTGGGAGCAGGGGCTGAGCGGACGGTCGGGTGTTGAAGGAGCAGGACTGTAAACCTGTGTGTGCGCCCGTCCCCGGGCAGTGTCTGGGCTGCCAGCTGGCTCCTCACACGCTCTTTCTCTTTCTTTCCCAGTTTCTAAGAGGGACCGAGGCCTCTTCTCTCAGCATGCTGCAAACCTGTGGTCTCCAATACTAGCTGCCCCCGCCCCTGTCGTCCCGCTGTGCGATGTTTGATGTCTGCTCGCTCTGTATCTATAGATCAAAGTTGCTGCTACGTCTCTCTTCTCTGTCTCACTCTCTGAGTATCTAACCATGTACTGAGCAATCGCTAAGCCTAGTCTGCCCTCCTCAATTGGGGCGATAGAGAGGAGGGCGCGTGTTCCTTCTGTCTCCTTCATACCTTTGTCTCTCACACTGAGTGGTATTAGTTGCTGATAGAGGTCATAGAGATGACAAAAGGAGAAACAGGAGCTGGAGGGCTGCGGCCCTTCTGTGTCTCTGTACACACACACACACACACACACACACGGACACACGGACACACAAAGCCTTAAGCGGAAGAATGTCTTGGCATCCTAAGAAGACGCAGAAATGACTTCCTCGCTCCTCGCTCACGCGCAGCGCAGGGGAGGGTGACGCGGAAGGGCTGCTAATTCACACACGCTCTCCTTCAGACACCCACCACCTGAGTCGGGGGACCCCAGGGTTTCACCGCCACCCGACTTTTTGCCTCCCTTTGTTTTCCCGAGAATCTGGGTTGCTCGAGGGGCCGTGTCCCTTTCCCTTCCAAGCTGCTCTTGACATTTTACATCCCAGATCTCACGGCCAGAAGTCAGGGCTGCTTCCAACCGCTGTGAAAATCCAGGTGGTAGAACCCCGCCCGGCAGCTGTCGGCGGCTGCTCCTCTGCCCACGGTGGTTCCAGGCGAGGACAAGTCAGGATGACTGACTCCTTGGGTTTGGGGGCTGAACGAGCCCGGAGAGTCCTAAGTGTTTTTGTCACGGCCTCAGGTTGAAGCGCTGAGCTGGGGTCCTTTCTCCCCAACTGGCCTCCAGGTTCTCCCCAGCTCTACCCTTGGAATTGGGGGCTCCCAGTCCGTTGGCACAATCTCTCTGGATGCCTTTCTTACAAGTGGAGCTGGACTTCTCCCTGACATATACCCCCTACCCCAAAGATGTCCTTCTGTGTTGTCCCCAGCTGGTATTAAGTGCACTTTAAAGAAAAGGGCAGGGCAGGTTTTCCAGGGCCCCCCACTCCAGCCATCCTCCGCCCACACCCGGTCCCCTCTCCCGCAGGTGGTCCTTTCCTTCCACATGGTGCTAAGGTGGTTTTCCAGGTAACTACAAGGATGGAAGCCACTAGACAGTCCAAGCTGAGAAAGAAAGTCTGGTGTCCAGAGCTCCAGTCTGACGTGGGATGGGAGATGAGGGTCCTCCAGCAGGACCACCTCGCCACCGCTAAGTCAGGAAAGAAAGCCCAGCGTCAGTGCCAGCTGGTGAACACAGGCCCTGTCGCCTGCCACGCCTTCAGGGAACATGTCGCTGCCCCCTGTTGGGCCCTTGTTAGCAGTTAAGGGGAAAAATGACCAGAGGGTATGGAATAAATCCAAAGCAGTGACTTAGACATTTTTTTTTTTCCGAAACAAATCTTAACTAGAACCCACTTATACTTATTTATATATATATAAGTAGTGCAGGCCTGAGCAGTTTGCATTTTTCTTTGTTTTTTTTTTTTTTTTTGGGGGGGGGGGATAGAAAGTGTTTCATTAGTGGAGAAGTACTTCAGCTGTCCTAAGAGATCCTAAGGGTCTAGAGAGGGATTTGAAACCACTGCTCTGAAGAAGGGGGTCCAATCTGGCTCCCCTACACCAAGCCAAAACCCATGAGGGGGAAAAGGGTGGGTAGGTGAGCCGCACTGTCGGGGCTGATCCCACAGGAGGGACGACACCTGCGCAGCTGTGGACCTGGGCTGCTCTCTAGGAGCCCAGGGGGTTTGTGTCACCTGCCGCCCACTGGTTCTTTCGGGAATCATGGGAGACAGCGTGAAGGTGCGGGGCAGGTGAGGAGGGGCCCGGAGGAGCAGCCGGCTCTGTAGCGAGACGCCAGGGTCTCCTCGCTGACATCAGCGAGCAACAGCACACACCCCCTCACCAGAAGCTTCACACTCTATCCTCCCCTGCTCCCCACACTCACCATGAACTTTCCCCCAGGGCCAGATGCCCCTTGTGGCATTTGGCCCGCCCACTCACATCTGCCAAAATGTTGCATGCCAGTGTGGAAGACAAACCAAACTGCACAAACCCCAGTGTGTATTTACTTGGTGTACATAGATACCTTTAAAATAAAAATAAGCTCAATGATGACGCTGCGTTGTATGTCTTCCTTACCACCCCCTCCACCCAGCCTCACTCCCTTGCTTGCGTGTATTAGCATCTGATGGCCTGGTATGCACCCTCAGATGTTTTTCTGTATACTTACATGCAGGCTCTTCCCCACTTGACTATCCTGCAGATCATTTCATGCCAATATACATACACCTCACTAAAATACATATAGGAGCAGGCATTGAACCTAGCAGGTAAAACATTTTTTCTTTTCTCTTTTTTTAAAGATTTATTTATTTATTTGAAAGTCAGACTTAGAGAGAGAAGGAGAGGCAGAGAGTGAGAGAGAGAGGTTCACTCCCCAATTGGCCGCAATGCCTGGAGCTGTGCCAATCCGAAGCCAGGAGCTTCTTCCAGGTCTCCCACGTGGGTGCAGGGGCCCAAGGATTTGTGCCATCTTCTACTGCTTTCCCAGACCATTGCAGAAAGCTGGATGGGAAGTGGAGCAGCCAGGACTCAAACTGGCACACATATGGGATGCCAGCACTACAGGTGGCTGTTGTACCTGCTATGCCACAGCGCCAGCGCCCCTTTCTTTCTCTCTCTCTCTTTTTTTAGACAGTTTGGTAGTTTCTTTTTTAAAATTTTTAGTTATTTATTTTTTATTTATTTGACAGATGAGTTAGACAGTGAGAGAGACAGAAAGGTCTTCCCTCTGTTGGTTCACCCCCCAAATGGCCGCCACAGCTGGTGCTGCACCCACCTGAAGCCAGGAGCCAGGTGCCTCCTCCTGGTCTCCCTCGCGGGTGCAGGGGCCCAAGCACCCGGGCCATAGCAGAGAGCTGGACCGGAAGAGGAGCAACCAGGACTAGAACCCGGTGCCCATATGGGATGCCGGCGCCACAGGCGGAGGATTAACCAAGTGAGCCACGGCGCTGGCCCTCTTTCTCTTTTTTAAAGATTAGTTTATTTGGATTATAGAGAATACCTGGGTTCAAGTCCCAACTGGATTTCTGATTCCAGCTTCTTGCTAATACAGACCCTGGAAGGCAGTGGTGACTGTTCAAGAGATTGGCCCCTGCCACCCACGTAGGAGACCTGGGAGGAGTGTGCAGCTTCTGAATTCAGCACAGACCTGAGCATTTCAGCCATCTGGGGAGTGAACCAGCAGATGTGACTTGCTCACTCTCTCTGCCAATATTTTAACACAAATTTTTATACTACCCCATAATTTTTAAAAGATGAATTTTATTTATTGAAAAGGTAGAGTTAGAGAGAGAGAGAGAGATCTCTACCTGCTGGCTCATTCCCCAAATGGTGGTAACAGCCAGGGCTGGGCCAGGCTGAAGCCAGGAACCCAGAACTCCATCAGGGTCTCCCATGTGGGAACTCCATCAGGGTCTCCCATGTGGGTTGCAGGGGCTCTAGCACGTGGGCCCTCTTCCACCACTTCCACAGGTGCATTAGTGGGGAGCTGGATGGAATGTCAGCGTCGCAGTGGTAGCCTAACCCATGGTGCCACAATGTTGGTCCTGGCACCCCATAGCTTATCCAATCATTCCTCCACTGGCAGATGTCTAGGTAGTTTGTAATCTAACATATTCTCTTCTTTTTACCCCACCCACTATTCAGTCCCAGCAACACCTCCTCCCTCTCCTGTGTGTCCCCATCCCTCCCTAACAGTCAATTCCCTTGTCCCACGCTGACTCCTCTGCTCAGACTTCAAAGCTTCTGCATGACCAAAACATTGGGGCGACTGTGGACGGAGAACCTACTCAGCCTGCCGGAGCCCCCATGCCACTCAGCGTTCCCTCTGCCCCCTCGCTCTGCGCCTTTCCTCCCTCCAGAGCACCTGGTCCAAGTCCCCACTCCTAGCACCCCTCCCTGTCAGCTGCTTCAAAGGGCCACCGGGGGTGCCTGAGCAAGGCGGTTATGCCCCCAACACCTACACTGACCTGTGCACTCCTATCCTTTGTTTCCTTCCGGCCAAAGTGCATTCCACCTAGATCCTTCATTCTTGAGATTCCTACCTAGGACCCTAATACAAAAATAACTCAAATTGATGCCGACTTGGGCACTCTGCATCTTCCTTGTTAATATCAGTCTCCAGCTTATTTATTTATTTGAAAATCAGAGTTGGGGGAGGGAGAAAATCTTCCATCCACTGGTTCACTCCTCAAATGGCCAAAAGGGCCGGGGCCGGGCCAGGTCAAATCCAGGAGCCAGAAGCTTCTTCCGGGTCTCCCAGGAAGGTGCAGGGACCCAAGGACTTGGGCCATCTTCTGCTGCTTTACCAGGGGGCATTAGCCGAGCTGGACTGGAAGTGAAGCAGCTGGGACTCTAACCAGTGCCCATTCGGGATGGCGGCCCTGGATTTTCCCAATCTTGACTGCCGTCCTCTGCTTTCCAGCCTCACAGCCACTGCTTTGGTTCTTTCTCTTTGCCCCAACTTCTGCAATACTCCGGCGCCCCTCCCTCCAGCACGAGGCCCAAGCCGTCCCTCTCAAAGCCCACTAAGTAGATTAAAACCACTTGAGTGACCCCAGTGCCTACCCTCTCTAACCTTGTCTTGCTTCTTCCCCCGGTTCTTAAGTTCCAGCCCTACCTTGCTAGTTACAGCTCCCAGAAGCTTTCTCGTCTCCCTGTCTTTGTCCACTGTTCTCTCTGCCTAGAAAGCTTGTTCACCCGTAGCCCTGAACCCCACGCAGCCCTCCATACCCGCACGCTCTCCTCTCTGAAGGCCACACACAGCTCCAGTCTACGGCCCCTTGTCCCACCTCGGCCTTTAGACTCTGAACAAGGGGCAAGAACAGTCCTATCGCTGCTCCAATCAAATGAGGAGAATCAGCCCCCAGAACAGGACCTGGTACAAATAAACGCTTGTTGAATGAATGAATGAATTTACGTAAGCTAGCGTTTTGGATTTCCAGCGCCTGCCCTTCCCCAACCCCTCAGGAAAGAAAAAGCTCTTGCGTGAGCCGCGGGCGGGAGGTTTCTCAGGAACTGGGCAACACCGGAAGGCGGCGACTTCGCAGCAAGGCAGCCCGGGACCTGAAAGTGAAGCAGTCCAGTTCCAGCCGCACCTCGCACGCCCAGTCGACGGGTCAGGGCCTCGCCGGCTGCTCTCAGCCCCCCCCCGAGACCCCGCACCAGCAAGCGGGCCACCGAGCCAGGTGAGCCCACCCACCGCGCTGGCTGCGCCGAGGCGCGGGGGGCGGAGCCACCGCCGCCCCGCCCTTCGCCCGCGCGCCTGCGGGGCTGGTCTCCGGTCACGTGACGGCGGTGCAGGTGAGCACCGCTTCCGGGGTCTGGCGCCGGGATCGCGGCCGGCTCCCCGCTTACGCTCGGCCCGGTGCGCGGGAGACTATGGCGTCCTCCTCGGTCCCGCCGGCCACCGTCCCGGCAGCGGCAGCGGGCCCCGGCCCGGGTTTCGGCTTCGCCTCCAAAACCAAGAAGAAGCATTTCGTGCAGCAGAAGGTGAAAGTGTTCCGGGCGGCCGACCCGCTGGTGGGCGTGTTCCTGTGGGGTGTAGCCCACTCGGTAAGAACCGGCCCTAGCCCCCACCGCTACCCCTACCCCTACCCCTACCCCCGACCCCAGCCCTCAGCCCCGGCGCCACGGGCCATCTCTGTTTCCAGATCTCCTCGCGCTGCCACTTTGCCCCGGGCTGCCCGGGCTCTGCCGGCCGGGCCCCAGGTGTTCCTCCTGGGGTGGACTGTTTCTACCCTCCCCTCTGCCCTTAACTCCTTACTGCCGGATCCGGCCCCAGCCACCGGCACCGGAGGCTAGCCAGTACTGGGCTCCCGCGGGAAGGACCTCGTGTGGGGTAATGTCTCTTTGGGATTGGAGGTGATGAGGTCTCGGTGGGAGAGGGAGAAACAGGGGGGGTGTCTGGAAGAAGGGGGTGGTTCCCTTTCCTTTCCACCTTGCGTCCCGGCCCCAGTGCTTGATTTCGGAGCCTTGGCTTTGTCTGGGGAAGCGCTAGATTTCCCGGACCTTGTAGTCCTGCTTATCCCTTCCGGAGGTACAGCATTTTAGATAGGCCACCTGCCCCCTCCCCCAGCCTAGAGGCTGCACTCACTCGGGACTGGATGGCGGTACTTGGTACGAGCGGGGATCGGCTTTGACCAGGGAGAGAGCTAAGGAGCCCCGGACGTGGACATACTGTGTGGGTGAACTTTCAAAACGGGAAACCGCCCTAGAGAGTATAACCTGGGCGTCGGGAGGAGGCCAGGGAAGGCTGTTCGTGGCCTTTCCTGATGATGCTTCCCGGGAAGGAAGCACAGATGTCACGCCCCCGCCCCGCCCCGCCCACTGGGGAATGGGAGGGATGCGGTGATCTTAAATGTGACAGGGAGCATTTTAGAAGTCAGCATCCTTGAATTGTTGCAGCCCTTCGTAGGGTTGTGGAGGTGGAAGTGCTGAGGAAGAATGCAATTTTTGCCACGTGCTTAATCTGTGATTCAGAATGTCGGGCCGGGTCCCTTGGCCCCATTCTGCATTTGTGGCTCTCTGGGTGGTTGTGTCTTCCTAGCAGCCGAGCGGAGACAAGGCTGATGCAGGTAGCACGGCCTCACGTGTCTACCTTGCAGTGACTCATCCCTTCCTGTGGGAAGCTAACAGGAAGGACTTTCCTTTGGGAAGGGTTGGGGGAATTACATGTAAGAGCTGCCTCAGCTGCCCCAGGTACGTGTACTTTAGCGTCCACACCCTACCCTCCAGCTAACAGACATTCAAGTGTCTGGAATGGAGAAATTCCTTGAGCATATGCCTTAGTGATGATTCAGCCTGTAAGCAGGTGGTGAGAGGGGTAGGGAGAGCCTCAGCTGAATTGTAGGCTAGAAATCTCAAGTGGCTTTTTTTTTTTTTTTTTTTGGAGGAATATGTTCTGTCCTCCTTTTCGACTGAGAACACGAGGAAATTGGATGCACTGCATTGTGTGGGATTTAGGTTAGATCGCAATTCATAACCTCTGTCTAATGATCGCGCAAGAATGAGCAAAGCCTCCGTGCGTTCAGTTGATAAACTCTTGGGGACCACTGTGTGTGGGATGTTGTGCGAACTGGGCCCCTGAGAGATGCAGAGCACTAAAAAGGGTCCTTGCCCTTGAAAAGCTCACAGTCTAGGAGGGGAGCTTACCTAGACTAGTGCTTAGTCTTGTGGTGCATGCACAATTAAAGGCAGCTGATACTGCAGCAGCACCAGCAACAAAGCCATCTCCCTGGGACTTGTTAGGAGCTCCTTTTCTGCCCAGAATTAGCAGAGTGTAGATCCCGGGGCCTGAGGAGTGCATGCAAAGCTTGCAGTCTTTGGGTTGGAGGTTGGCTTGGCTTCAGAGAGAGATCTAATGAGCTTATATCCTCTGATCACCTGCATTCCCTCTGGCATCAGCTCTTCTTTTGCCTTACACCCAGCCGGGCAGAGAGCTGGTCAGAGTGCTCTGGAAGGACTCTTTCTGTTCATAAGAGGATACTTTGGAGGCTGACATTGTGGCATGGTGGGTAAAGCTGCCGCCTGCAATGCCACCATTCCATGTGGGCACTGATTAGAGTCCCAGCTACTCTACTTCCAGTCCAGCTCCATGGTGGTGGCCTGGGAAAAGCAGTGGAAGATGGCCCGAGGCCCCTGCCACCCACGGGGGAGAGACCCTGAAGAAGCTCCTGGCGCAGCCCTGGCCGTCGCAGCCATCTAGGGAGTGAACCAGAGGATGGAAGATCCATCTCTGTAACCGTGACTTTCAAATACATTAATTAATTTAAAAAAAGATGCCTTTTAAAGGACATGGGTGATTTTTTTTTAATTTGTTTACCTCTGCATGTTAAAATATTTTGTTTTTAAAATTTTAAAATTTTAAAATTTATTTGTATATATTTGAAAAGCACAGAAATAGATACATAGAAATATCTTCCATCCACTGGTTCATTCTCCAAATACCTGCAACAGCCAGGGCTGGCCAGGTCAAAGCCAAAAGCTGGGAACTCAGTCTGGGTCTCCTATGGGGGTGGCAAGAACTCAAGTACTTGAGCCATCACCTGCTGCCTCCCAGGTACACATGAGCAGGAAACTGGAATTGAGAGCAGCAATGAAGCTCAAACCCAGGCAATGGATACAGGATGTGGGTGTCCTAACTGGTGTCTTTACTGCTGTGCCAAACGCCCACCCTAGGCAACTCATTCTGCCTGCCACCATTGACCCTCGGAGTCCCATTAACCCTGTTGGGCACTTGCAGAATGGGTTTTTAAAAAAAATGGAGCATGTAACTGTTTGTCTTGGGTTTGCTGAGGGTGGTTTTTTTTTTTTTTCTAGAATTTCTCACAGTTTTAAAAATAGTGCTGAGTTGCTTACAGGGTTTGCCTAATATAAAACGACTGTTGTGAGCATGAAGTTCTGTGGGGGTGTGCGTGTGAGGATCGCTTGCCGCAGTGCCCCCGGGCTTGCACAGGCTCTCTCACTTTCCTCAAGCAAACGCGTAGCTGATGCTTTTATTTGTTTATTTTAGAACGATTCATTTGTTTGTTTGTTTAAAAGAATAAAGAAGGAGGGATAAACAGAGAGAAAGAGATCTTTGGTCTGCTGGTTCACTCCTGAAATGGTCAGAACAGCCAGGGGGGGCCGGGCTGAAGCCAGGAGCCAGTTCTCTCACGTGGGTGGCAGGGACTCTGCGTCCCAGGTGCATTAGGAGGGAGCTGGATCGGAAGAGGAGCAGCCAGGACTCTGATATGGATGCAGTCATCCCAAGTGGCAGCTTAACCCAGTGTTCCACGGTGCCCAGCGCCAGCCAGTGCTTTTAAAGGAGTCGGGTTTGAGTTGTCCTCTCCTGATTCTGCGCAGACAGAGCATACGAGTCACTCGGCACCACTCATTGCCCCCATGTATGTCTTGCCTTTTCAGATCAATGAGCTCAGCCAGGTGCCTCCTCCAGTGATGTTGCTGCCAGATGACTTCAAGGCCAGCTCCAAGATCAAGGTCAACAACCACCTTTTCCATAGGTAAGTAGCAATTCCTGCCATTCTCACGTCAACCTTCTAGGAAGAGAATCCTAAGTAATCATAACAGATACAGAGAGTTGAAGGTTTCAGATCTAAAAGTCAGTTTGCAAGCTGTGTGGTCAGATGTCCTTCCCGCTGCAGTTTGGTACACAGGAAACAATTCCAACAATTTCTGATGTTCCCTACATCCTTATATGTGGCAGTGTGACTCTCTCCTCCAGCCTGACAACTCCGTAGAGCAAATGCATGCAGATGCTGTTCCCATGAGCTTCTGATAAGAACTCCCTGAAATAAAGCCGTTCTGGGATGAGAGGATGCCATCCAGAACAGTGGTATCCGCTGCTGACTGTAGGATGTCTCTCGGTGCTTGAAATTTCGGAGATGCCAGCGTCTCCCCAGACAGTGGGGTCTGGCTCTACCCAGCCCACTTGCCAGCTGTGTGACTTAGGCAGGGCCCTCAACTCCTCTGAGAGACACGTTCCTTTTCCATAAAACAGAATAGTGTTCCTCTTAAAGTAGCTCACGGGGTTTTATGAGACTCAAATGACTATTAGGTGTGGAAGGTGTTTTATACACTGTCAAGTACTATATAAATATGAGATAAATGATTACCTTGTTGTCTTACCTTGAAAACCTACATTTCAGGGAAAATCTGCCCAGTCATTTCAAGTTCAAGGAGTATTGTCCCCAGGTCTTCAGGAACCTCCGTGATCGGTTTGGCATTGATGACCAGGATTACTTGGTGAGAGTCCCTTGTGGGGTGATGGCCATCCTTCTCTGCAGTAACTGAGGGAGTTCTTGGGACAGTCATGTTTGGAGAAAGGAGAGCCTTGGTCAATATGATTTTTTATCTTTTTAATGGTAACAGACAACTTCAAAAACCTAATTAAAGCTGAGAACTCAGTCCGGGGAGAGGGTGGGGAATGTAGATACATTAAGAATTTTGCATTCCCTGTCATTCAGTCCGTATATATAGACAGTGGATTAAGAACCCCTGCCTCATCTCTTATCCAGGGTTTTATCCACTCCCAGAAGCATGAGTTGACCATTGTGCTTTGACTCGTATCTCCATGTGAAGGGGAGAAGAGCCTCTGGGCATGGCTGGGTGACCTGCCCAGGTCACGTGGCTGGTGAGAGCCTCTAGCCTGTTCTGTGTCCCAGGTGTCCCTTACGAGAAGCCCCCCGAGTGAAAGTGAAGGCAGTGATGGTCGCTTCCTCATCTCCTACGATCGGACTCTGGTCATCAAAGAAGTGTCCAGCGAGGACATTGCTGACATGCACAGCAACCTCTCCAACTACCACCAGGTCAGACCCCTCAGCCCTGTTCTTTCCCTCCCCTCCCCATTTAGACACAGCTGGGCTGTCAGAGCCCCCGGGGAGACTTGCTAGCTCTTTCTTCCCCTAAAAGCCATTTTTCTCCCCAGGAAGTGCTCCATATGTTTTTCAAAATGTTTTTAAAGCTTTATTTAAGTTATATAAGCTTCAAGTATTTCATATATACATATACAGATTTAGGAACATAGTGATACTTCTCACCCTACCCTCTCTATATGTTTTTTGTAAACTAGGAATTTCACACTGTACATACTTGTGTTTGACTTGACAGAAGAGTTGGGATGTGTCCCTCTCATTTGGTTCTTATAATCTAAAACCTCTATGGAAAAAGGGCATGTGTGTGGTGAAATATAAACCAAAGGCTAAGTCAGAACTGGGCCAAGAATTGCCAGCGCTGTGGCTCAATAGGCTAATCCTCTGCCTAGCGGCGCTGGCACACCAGGTTCTAGTCCCAGTCGGGGCGCCGGATTCTGTCCCGGTTGCCCCTCTTCCAGACCAGCTCTCTGCTGTGGCCCGGGAGTGCAGTGGAGGATGGCCCAAGTCCTTGGGCCCTGCACTCCATGGGAGACCAGGAGAAGTACCTGGCTCCTGCCTTCGGGTCCGCGCGGTGCGCCGGCTGCAGCGTGCTGGCCGCCGTGGCCATTGGAGGGTGAACCAACAGCAAAGGAAGACCTTTCTCTCTCTCTCTCATTGTCCACTCTGCCTGTCAGCAATTGTTCCCTGTATCTACAAAAAAAATTAAGAAGACATATAACTGCGCCTGGGCCAAGAATTAACACCAAATATACTGCCAGGAATACATGTAGTTTGTAGAGAGAACCAGGACAGGGGCGTAATGAGATATCTTGGAGGGGAGAATTCCTTAAGCACATCCGGCCCTCAGTTTAGGGAAACTATTCTGCCTGATCAGATTAACTTGGAACGTGGGGTTGATGGAGTGTTTTGATGATGAATGCACTTTTCCTGAATGTCTTTCTACAGAAGAAAAATCTCACATCACAATCAATGAGCAAGGAATAAAGGTTCTACTCAACACATATTTAATGTCTGTTGTTACTTGGCCCTTGTTGGGCAGTAGGGAAACTGGTGAACGAGGTAGCTGTGACTCCTGAGGAGCTCTTGGTCTGATGGCGAGACGATGGCAAGACACTAAGCCAGTATTTGCGCACAGCAAATGTGTGCAGTAGTAGAAGTATGTACAGAATGTTCTGGGGATGCAGAGAAGAGCATCCCAAGTCACCTGGCGAAGGAGGTGCAATTGGGAGACTTGATGAGATTTTTAGAGGAGGTATCGCAGGATTTGATTCTGGAGGGACAAATAGGAGTTAACCATAGACAAGGTAGAAGAGCGCATTCAAGGTAGAGGGAGATGGAGGGCACTTGTAGAGCCGTGAGGGATGGGAAGAAAGACCTGCGGGAAACCTGTGGGTGTCAGGGCAGAGAACCTTCCAGGTTCCTGGCTGGGGATAACTGGCTGCCCATTTACCGACAGTTGGGAAAGAGAAAGATAGTCTGGTTTGGATGTACTGGGTTTGAGGTTTCTGCAGTTTGTTCAGCTGTAGATGTCCAGTAAGTGGTTGGGGTGTGGATATGGAAGTCAGGAAAGAGGGTGAGACTAGGAGTGTTGATTTGAGAGTTGTGCAATGAATAAGTGGTAAGTGGTCATTAGCATATTACAAGTCACTTCCTAATTTTTTTTTTTGTTCTATTTTTGATAGGCAGAGTGGACAGAGAGAGAGACAGAGAGAGAAAGGTCTTCCTTTGCCGTTGGTTCACCCTCCAATGGCCGCCGCTGCAGCCGGCGCACCGCGCTGATCCGATGGCAGGAGCCAGGATCCAGGTGCTTTTTCCTGGTCTCCCATGGGGTGCAGGGCCCAAGCACCTGGGCCATCCTCCACTGCACTCCCTGGCCATAGCAGAGGGCTGGCCTGGAAGAGGGGCAACCGGGACAGAATCCGGCGCCCCGACCGGGACTAGAACCCGGTGTGCCGGCGCCGCAAGGTGGAGGATTAGCCTATTGAGCCACGGCGCCAGCTACTTCTTATTTTTTTTTAAAGATTTATTTATTTATTTGAAAGGCAGAGTTACAAAGGGAGGTGGGTGTCTTCCATCTGCTGGTTCACTCCCTAATTGGTTGCAACGGCTGGAGCTGCGCCGATCTGAAGCCAGGAGCTTCTTCCGGGGCTCCCATGTGGGTGCAGGGGCCCAAGGACTTGGGCCATCTAATACTGCTTACCCAGGCCATAGCAGAGAGCTGGATCAGAAGTGGAGTAGCTGGGACTTGAACCAGGGCCCATATGGGATGCTGACACTGCAGGCGATGGCTTTACCAACTTACCAACTACACCAGAGCGCCAGTCCCTAAAGTCGCTTCTGAATATAGACAAGATTATCGAAGGGAAGTGTGTGCAGTGAAATGAAAAGGTTGAGGACAGCGCCTTAAGGAGCACGTGGAGAGAAGAGCCCTTGAGCGCACCCTAGAGGCTATGAGTTTTTTCTTTATGACCTGATGCACTCCATGATTTGAGGCCAGAGAGCAGGGTCAGATCCCATCCCCTCAGATGGGAGCTGAGGGTGAAGAGAACTTGAAGGAGAGACTGGTCAGTAGGATCAGGTGGAATATGACTGACCAGGATGTCCATTGGATTTGACAATTGAGGAATTTGGGGAAGATCTCAGAAGAGAAATGATGGTGTTTTGATGTTCTCGGTTTGAGAGTTGAATAAGATAGGAAACAGGTTGGTTGCTGACTACTTTTTAAGAGTCCAAATTATAGGCCATTCTATAAGAAACATGGGCCTGGATGAAATCGTGTCATTGATAAGCAGATGTATGTTCCATTCCTGGTTCTCTGACCACTTGCACATAGAGAGGCTCTAAGATACGGATAATAGCTTTCTTGCTCATCTCAAAGAATGATAAAGGAGAAATGAGAAAGGGCCCTTTAGAATTAAGAGACATCACCAAGTGGAAGAAGTCACAGGAGATGGGGATTCAGAAAGTGCACAGGTTGCCGGCGCCTCTTAGGACGCAGCCACCACTTCTGGCCTTTCTTGTGGCCTCTCTGTTTGAAGTTTTCTGTCCCACTGGGAGCAGAGTGGAGCGGCAGTGTTTGAATTCCCATGCCTGGGCTGCTGCCTGGGCCGTTTGTGTTTCCGCTGCTCAGCCTCTCCCCACTCCCTCCTTCCCCTCCACCCCAGTACATCGTGAAGTGCCACGGCAACACGCTGCTGCCCCAGTTCCTGGGGATGTACCGAGTCAGCGTGGACAACGAGGACAGCTACATGCTTGTGATGCGCAACATGTTTAGTCACCGTCTGCCTGTGCACCGGAAGTATGACCTCAAGGTGAGGATGGACCGGGCTGGGGGGCCACTGGACGATCCCTTTTCAAAGAAAGAAGGCTGTGAGAGTGAACACTCATCTCAGGAGCTTGGTCTGTCTCTTCTTTTAGCCACTTCTGCTGACTTTGTCTTGGTCTCTCCACAGGGCTCCCTAGTGTCCCGGGAAGCCAGTGATAAGGAAAAGGTGATGCTAATTTTAGGTGCTAGGGTGAGGTAGGGGGGAGTGCAGGTGGAAGGGATCTTAGGAGGAACAGACCGTTGTCTGTCCGTAAAGGGATGGGGATCGCCAGCTGTATTCTTCTCTTCAACCACTGGAAGAGGGATGTCCAGGACAGGTTGGAAGGGCAATGGGAGCTGTCGCTTTGTCCCTGGCATGGGTGGTTCCATATGGAAGGTTTGGGGATAGTGGGGGGGGAGTGCCACATCCTCCATTCTGGGCTCTTGTATGCAAATGGCTGTTTTTTGCTTAAGAAGCAGGAGTAGAGAGGCTTGGCTGAAAATTGTAAGCAGAAAGTGGGATGTGATTTGGGGTAAGCTGTGACAACTTGGGTGTCGGGAAACCACTGGAGGTGAGACGGGACCTGGGGGGAGTGTCGCAGTGTGGAGTCAGGAGAGAGAGGCCGCTGAGGTGGAGAGGAGCCCAGGCGAGATGAGAGACTTTGGGAAGGGACCTGTTCCCAAGATGTCCCTTTACCTGTTCTTAGGTTAAAGAATTGCCCACCCTTAAGGATATGGACTTTCTCAACAAGAACCAGAAAGTTTACATTGGTGAAGAGGAGAAGAAAATATTCCTAGAGAAGCTGAAGAGAGACGTGGAGGTGATGATTGGGGAATGGCCTTGTTTCCTTTTTTTTTTTTTTTTTTAAGTTGTTTCTTCCATTCCCAGTCTGAGGGAGCCCCTCCCTTCCCCTTTATTCTCTGGGTCCCCTGCCTGTGGAGTGTTGGGTATGAGACATGAAAACTCTAGAGGTTACCCACAAAGGCTTGGCTGGAGTGAGTAAAAGGGTGATCTTAGGCCCTCTAGGCAGTGAGATACTCCCAACCTCAGTCTTTATGCTTCTGTTCCCTAGGAGAGCCCTGGAAACTCAGCGTGGAGTAAGGGTGGTACCTGGAGGCCAGGGAGGGCAGTCTGGGGTGTCTAATGTGCCAGTGGGTCTCAGTTTCTAGTGCAGCTGAAGATCATGGACTACAGCCTTCTGCTGGGCATCCACGACATCATCCGGGGCTCTGAACCAGAGGAGGAGGGGCCCGTGCGGGAGGACGAGTCAGAGTGGGATGGGGACTGTAACCTGACTGGACCGCCTGCTCTGGTGGGCTCCTATGGCACCTCCCCTGAGGGTATCGGAGGCTACATCCATTCCCATCGGCCCCTGGGCCCTGGAGAATTTGAGTCCTTCATTGATGTCTACGCCATCCGGAGCGCCGAGGGTGAGAGAGATCCTGGACTTGGAAGAGGGGAGGGGGGAGGGTGGTCCTTGGGTGGTGGGTGGCAAGGTCGCTTAGCTTTGCAAGATGAAATTGCCTGTCTTGTGGGGAAAGGGAATTGGGAGGGTCCCGTCCCTCATAGTGGGTCTCTCTCGGCAGGGGCCCCCCAGAAGGAGGTGTATTTCATGGGCCTCATTGACATCCTGACGCAGTATGACGCCAAGAAGAAAGCAGCTCACGCAGCTAAGACCGTCAAGCATGGGGTGAGGATTCCAAGGTCCTTCCTTTCCTGTCTTGACTGTCCCTTGGGCAGAGAGCACCTTTTGTGCCCGAGCAGTGGGGTCAGAAAGGATGGGACTGGCCGGGGTGGCTTGGCCCGGGGGGCTGGGGAAGGCTGGTAGAGCTGCCTGACTCACTGTCATTGTCCACACCTCCTTCACAGGCGGGGGCGGAGATTTCCACGGTCCATCCTGAGCAGTATGCTAAGCGGTTTTTGGATTTTATTACCAACATCTTTGCCTAAGAGACTGCCAGCTTCACGGTGACTGCTGCTTCATGTTCAAGGTGGTGGGGGCTCTCAGAGGCTTGGGGGAACTGTGGATTTTCTGGCCACTGCTTCTCTTCCTCTTTTGCTAAAATCTACTCTGCAGGCTCCTTCCACCCAAGTAACCCCATCTTGTGGAACAGGCTCTTCCTGACCCTCAGAAATACATCGTCCTTCCTCCCCTTTGTCCACGTTTCTTCCCTCCCTCCTCCCTGCAACACGTCTGCTTGCTTTATTAGAGTGTTATTGTCGACTGTCTCCCAAGTGCCTTGATCTTTGTCAAATACCCTGTTGTTTCTATAAAATAGGAGGAGCTGGGGGCAGGGGGTTGTTTGCCATCTTCAGGACCTGACGGGACAGATGGACCTGGCTCAAGCAGCTGCTCTGGATGCA